CAAAGGTCCCTTCAGCTACAAATTATCCAATTCTGTCTTTTGCAAATGAAAAAAATAACATTAATTTCCATCAATAAGATAGTCCCTATGCAAATCGTGAAGTGAGAAACGTTTGTTTGGGGAACTCCCCACCTACTTTTGAACCCAGTCCTCCCCTCCTCTGGCTTCTCTTCTTCCCTGTTTTTGACTCCTCGTGCCTTTGTGCCCTTTATGGAAAGGATCTTGCAAACTTCCTCAACTTAAACTTTTAAAACAACAGATAAAACTTAATGTGCTCTGTCTCCCAAAATACATACATTTTCGAATTTTAAGTTAACAGCACCATTTTGTGCTTGTGGAATTTTAGACATCAACAATTTGGGGAGAATAGGTTTGGGGGACAGAGGAATTGACTTTCAGGGCTTTATCATGTGCTGTCCTTACGTATTATGTTGATCACATCAACATGGGGCCTCTTTGCCTGACAACTCCTGTCCACAAGTAGGATTGGTCAGTCTATTACCATACTTTTTTATCAACATCAGTGCATTTTATATATTTGGATTTTTTGTTTTATCTTTCAAATAAAATTTTTTGTTTTTTTTTTTTTCTGCCTAGCTTTGCTTATGGGCAAAATACTTTTTCAGGAATGGCATTCCCTTAGATTCCAGATATCTTCAAAACTCTGGGCAAAGCAAAATATTGTCTTGTCTTCTCTTCCCCTATTTAATTTTGCAATGACAAAAATGTTAAAGATTCTTATGACATTCTTTAGACTTTGCCGTGAGTACCTAAGCCTTCTAAATATTTTATTTTAATAAAAATTGCTATCTATATCAGTGTCTGATATGGTATGCTTATATATGTGCTGACATTTTAAAATGATTTTTTTTTTTTAAGGATTTTGGGCTCGCGAAGTAGGTAAAATGATTGGACTAGAACATCCTCTCATTCCGGTTCAACATCAGTACGTTGTTACATCAACTATACCCGAAGTGAAAGCTTTGAAACGAGAACTTCCTGTGATCCGTGATCTGGAAGGATCATTTTACCTTCGACAGGAAAGGGATGGGCTTTTGTTTGGTCCATATGAAAGTCAGGAGAAAATGAAAGTTCAGGACTCCTGGGTCACCAGTGGAGTTCCTCCAGGTGGGTTCAGCAAACAAAAGTGTGTGCAGGTCCGACATGTATGGTTCATTCTCTCCATGATGGGGGCTGGCTGTAGAATAAGATGACTATAATACTAGACTGTAACATACCGGGGACTTTGGAGGTGAGGCGTTTCAGGTGAGCTCTGTTCTTTCATCCCTTTGAACAATCACAGCAGGGAGTGAGGAAAGAGAGAAGATGTAGCTGGTGGTAGAGAAGCTGAAGAAACGTGTTCCAGCTGCTTTGCAAGGCTCCAGGTATATTTTTACCAGCCTCCTGCCTTTTCCCTACCTCCTTGATCTGCTGCCAGCATGGTTACTTTCAAGATTTGAATATAGCTGCTATTGTGCTTTTACAGTTGGAAACATGACAGGTATTAGAGGCCAGATATCCATCCTACTAAGAATGAAAGCCTAGGCATCTATAACAGAGCAGGGTAGGTTGGTACCGCCAGCTGAGGCCCTCCCATGCTACATAAATGCATAGGGTAAAGGCTCAGGTCTCTCTGCTAAAGCAGGAGGTACTATAGTTTCTCTTTTAAGTTCTGTAAGGGAGACAGCTCTGTTTTTGTTTTTCATGAAACATTTCCACAGTGCCAGATTAAAGATTGAGTGGCCTAAGGCAGTACCTCCGGTTTTAATCTAAAGGGAGCCAAAATATCATTGGGATACTGAAATGCTACAGGAAACATAAAGAAATAGAGATAATGGTACTTTCTAGAATTACATTTTGATAAGCTCTTTGAGATAGGAAATGAGTCCCTCCTACTTCTCAAAGAGTAGGCCCACGTAACAGCAAATGATCGCTCAACGGCCTTCCATTGAAGTCCGGCCCACTAGCTTCAGGGCTTTAGTTTTGCTGAGTAGGTGCTGCACATTTGGGCTAGAGCAGAATCATTCCTGATCCCAGAGGGAAGGACCTGCCACCTGGAGCTCCCTCTCTGCTCTTCCCCCATGCTGCCAGCCTTTCCTCCATATAAATGTTGAATAAATATTTAAATAATACCAGTTGGAGGGAAAGCCATATTGTTAGCTGTCCCTGGGTGTGGGTGCCCATACGTCCTAGTCCCACCCTGGTGGTCTCCAGGCCTCCACACAACTGACCCAAATGCAGTTCCCCGGAGGAGCAACGACGAGCTGCTGGCTACTATGTGGGAATATCACCAGTATTGGAAGAGACTTTCTTCTAGAAGCTCATCTCTTGCCTTGCCTGAAATCACAGTGACTTTTAGAACAAGAAGACGATTGTACTCCAAGACCCTGCCTCTTTTCACAGAGCTCCAGCCCTTGGATGTATGTGGGAGCAGGCTGGAGGAAGGAGGCCTCCATGCCATTCCTTCCCTGCTGAAAGGAAAGATAGAAGGGATCTAAAATCCATCATTTTAGATCCTGGAGTAGTATTTTACTTTTCCCAGTGTCCTGGAATGACTTTGTAAACTCCCATTTGCCCTCATCTGGGGGAAAGAAACAGGATCTTATGGTTAATTAAAAGATAAAGATCTCACTTGACAGACCAAATTGTTGTTTTTTAAAATTTGTGATTTGATTAAATATGGGAAACTGTTAATATTCAAACATTTGAATTTTTTATTAATTAAAAAGGTTAACTTTTATAATTTTGCTTTAGGAACAATAACATTATTTTTCTCAATAATATCATGGGCATCCATCTGTTGATAGTGAATGTCAAATTTAGACTTAGAAACAAGTGGCAGAGCCGGGTGTGGTGGCTCACACCTGTAATCATAGCACAGGCCGAGGCAGGCGGATTGTTTGAGCTCAGGAGTTCGAGACCAACCTGAGCAAGAGCGAGACCCCGTCTCTACTAAAAATAGCAAGAAATTAGCTGGACAACTAAAAAATATATATATATATAAA